AGAAAGATTGTCAGCAAATTTTGAATTTGCTTCATCTAACTCAAAAACTGAGGCTAATTATGTAGTATTTATTTTTTGGTCAGTTCTAATGATTTTTTGCTATTTTTGTAGTCTCTCGAGAGAAAGGACTTCTAAAGCAAAAAACGTTGAGAAGGAGGCATTTGGTAGTCAGGAAGATGCAGACAACGTCAAAGGTAAGGACACTTGCAAGTAATTTCGATTGAAATTGTTAGTTAAATTATTAGATAAGAAGATGTAAACAGATGAACGGCAGATGAATGGTATCATTGGGGATAAAGGGTCAAGGTGTGTATCATATTAGCAGGGGGGGGGTGTGTTGAATTGTAGTTGGCAGTGGGAAATGGACGGAGGGGAGAATACGGAATTAAGATGGTAGTGGTATGAAAGGGGAAAGGGGATGGTGGAATGGGAGGGGGTGATGAAGGATGGGGATGTAAGGGGTTGAAGGGGTGAAGTCTCTGGAACTTTCATTATTTTGTTAATTGTTTGTTGTATAGGCTAGCTTTCATTGCTTAACTCAAGAGCTTTCATTTCTTTGAGTTTTACTCTAAAAACTTTCATCTTATGAATTCCCCAATGACTTTCACCCTTACACAATGACTTTCCTTTCGTTTCTCACAGACATCGCTCGGCTATTATGCGCAATTCAACTGGGTATCATAGGATATTCGGTGAGCTCTTATAGATAGCATATTTCCTTAACCAAACATCAGAAACTTTTCTTATGCGAATAGGCCATGAAAAATCTTGCGATTGATTGTACTTTCGGCAAAGAGGATGATGAAACTGTGGGAAATGAACTCTAAGTTTACTGTTGCTGGACAGAGGCCTAATCCAGACCTGAAAGAAGACCGCTTTCGTTGTAAAACGCTCGAGAGGTTTTTAAATGTAGAAAAAACTTTCGAATACAATGATTTGTATCGTTGCTTGGGTTTGTAAATGGCTATGGGCTTTAAGGTTATGAATGATTTTAACATTGGCAAGATTTTTGGGGACAGAATTTCTTATAGGTTGTCTTCACAGTTCCATTATTAGGGTTGTCGTTATTGTACAGGGTTTGAAATAGGAGAGAGTTAAACCGGCAAAATATTGGTCTGTTGTTTCGTCTTGTCGTGTTTGGTAGATTTCTTGTTTTGGGTGGTACATTATTCGGCTTTGGTAAGCCCGAAAAGCTTCCAGAAAAGCATTCTCGTGTATAAGGGACAACCTAAAGACGGACTGATTTTCGCTCGAAATCTGTTTTCTAGTTGCAAAATTATTGATGGAAAAACCTCAAGACAAATTGACAAACTGCTTACTTTTGGGACAGTATCCGAATCTTAAAAAAACATCCGTTAGATAGAGAAAGCATTAATTGATAACTGGCAGAAACGCAGGTGTAATATTGTTTACCGGTCATGTTTTCATCTCCACAGCCCTCTGTATGTTCCAGTTTAAACTGGTCTTTGCTCTGTTCAAAAGTGGTCGATTGACAGCCAAGAAGAGAGGGATATCCTGATCAGGATTTAGCTTCGTAGAAAAAAGTCTGGTTTTCCATGGTAATATGTCTCTACGTGAAATCCATTTTCAATGAACAAGCTACGTTCACCGTTAGCTCTGCAATTTGGAAGTCAAAAATTATCCATGTTGAATTTCTCTGCTCAGGCATATTACTAAACATCCTGATAATAAATTTTTATGTTATGATGCATCGCAATTTAAGGCTAGCGAGGCAAAAAAATTTTCAATACTTTGCAAATATTCTTTGGTGCCGCATCCGGATTGGATATAAATTTTCTAGCTTTCCTTTGACGTTTAATACTTGAGAGGAAAACATTTGGGAAAGAGTTGTATGCATATATACAAAATGTTATTAGTGTCTTCAGCGTAAAGTATTCATTGGCTGTGCCTCTTAAGTCGTGTCTAAATTGCTGTAAGTCGAGTGATTTTGACGTTTAGGAGTTGTGTCATTCCTTGAAGTCACCATATAGTTCGAGTGAAATCATTTGTCGAGTCAAACTTTGGTTTACGTTCTTGGAATTTTTGTTCTTAACCATACCCAAATCGGATTTCTGTTTTGGAAGAATATGTCTTCAAAACCATGCTTCATTTGGCCAAACGATGAAGATCATTTGATATACGCTAAGTATAAACTATGAAAAAAACAAATATTAGCTTAGATTCGATTGAAAATTCTCTTTATCCTTTTTCTACTCTTTTCTCTAAATTTAAGTTGAACTGAAATTGAAAGTAATAAATTCTTTATTTGATTTTGAATTGAATTGAATAATTCTCCTACCAGCCGTTTCAAGAGAACACCATACATCGATTCAATGATTTTCAAATTCAGTCAATATGCTCCAAGGCTTCAGGTGAGTCTGTTCTTCTATACTTATAATGCGCATAGGAATCCCTATGAAGGGGAGGGGGTGGGTAAATGTTGCAACCCTAAAACAACGGTGATGTCTTTGACTATCCTAAACAGTCATAGAATATTAAATTTGAAAATGGGCTGGAAGAAAGCAAATATTTTACAACATACTAAAAAAGCTTTTTCGTTGACACTCTCAGAGCATGAAAATGTCAGAATCAGGGTCCGATGTCAGAAATGTTTTATGCTCTTGAGAAGTGTAAGACGAAAAAGCGTTTAGTATGTTGTAAAATGTTTGCTTTTCAAAGCATTTTCAAAATTCTGTACGTGAAAAAATTGTT